GCAAGAAATAGAAGACTATAGTTGGAGCTTTGATGAAGATAAAAAACTATAAATAGAGCTTTGGCCATTCTGAAAAATTGTATTTACCCCCAATTAATCATCATATATTTTCCTCTTTCATTTTTACCACATCCAAGAGAAAATAAGATATCAATTACTATAAACTTTTGATATATCCAACAATGATGAGCTTAAGAATTGGGGTTGCTTCTCAATTATTAATTAGCTTAAAATCAAACCAAAACTTCTTTTCTCCCTAAACACAATCATATACAAACATCTTACCTTCCAAAACTGAGATACAACAATCCAAATCAATGAACAATTGTACTCAAATTCTCAGAAACCATACCAGGAATAGTTAAATCTCAGAAGATTGAGTTATTACTTGGGGCATTTAGCTTTAGTTAACCATCTCTTTTAGCACTCGCCATTACTTGAGAGATAGATGATGATACGAGCGATTGAGACAGAATCTATAACATAGAGTCATAATAAACTCTTCAAACCTTCCTACTTAGATCTCGGTCTCATCTTTTTTTTTTTGCGCAAATTAAATACAAAACCTAAGGATAATAAAATCCAAAACCTCACCAGAATTTGAATAGCATAATGAGGACAAGGGTTACAAAACCACAATAGCGAGGATATCATCTTCTGGAACACGAAAAACGTGTGGATTCCAGACGATGAAAGAAAGCAATCGAGATAGCTAGAATGAAGAGTGGAGATAGAGGACGGTGGCGATGAGGAAGAAGAACCGCAGCTTCTGTCGCCGTAGAAAATGAAGATGATTTTGTCGAAAAGTGTTTTAAACTTACAAAATATGTATACATCGTTGATAAATCCATAAATCATTTGTTAACGTTTTATAAAACGTAAAGTTAATTTGGACTTGTCAAATACTAGTGAAACGATGGAAACTCTTTTACACACAATCGAAAAATATAATAGTTTGATTGTTTTGTAGATTAATATGATGAGATGAAGTTAAAACATAAAGATGTTATGGATTGGTATTAAAACTGTAAAATGTGATATAGGGACTAATTACTTTAAAAATAATTTACATACCAGCAACTAAAATATCATTTGATACAAAGTTCATACAAATCCCTTAAAATTATTACATTATTGTGAGATTATCTTATTATAAGAATAGAAAGAACTAAAATTGGACTAGTATAATAGCCACGTGGGCCAATCCTCTACGTCACCGAAGTTGATTGGCCAATTACCCAATTCTTACTCTAGTGGCTTTAGACCATTTTGTAGTTCCTATCTTGATTTAAAGTTCCATGTATGGAAACTAAAAGAGGTTTAAATCCATTAGACTACGACTATGTTGATAAAAGAATTTTAAATAATTTATATATTCAAATGCAATATTTTAATTGTTGCCAAAAAAAAAAATAATGAAAATCTAATTAGCATGGTCATAATATAGTAGTCACATATAGTGTCAATGAACACAAAAAATTAAGAGCTTTTCTTTTTTATTTTATCATTCTTACAATAATTTTGG